ACGTTGCATTTGAAACTTTATTATGTGCCAGAAAGTGACATTTTTTTTTAAATTGCATCATATTTTGGTCATTATATACGATATTCTAAAGGAATTTTGCTCAACAAATAAACAAAGGTGTTTACCCGTCCTTTTTTACATTTTATTGCTTTATTATATCTTATATCTGCCCCTTCGGTCTTGTTTAGACAAGTTTTTACCACCGTACAATACAAATACCTCTTCTTAGAGTTATTTGTACGGTGTGTTTACCTTTTTTTAGAATGGGACGAACTGTAAATAATTCTTAGGCTACTAGTTTTATACATACTTATATACAGAGTGACCCAGGCCTCCAAAACAGCTTTTTACGTATTACGTTTTTGGTTTGTGATTTTTATTTCAATCTTACATAAGATCGGGGCCATTGTAACGCACATTTTCAAAATATTTTTGTCAACATACAGGGTGATTCAAACTGCAATACATATGCTTAATACAGTTCATGAAGATTGGGACGTTTAACTAAAATTTGATTGTCTGATTAAGCTACCTAAGTAATGGATTTGTAAATAAACGTAATATTCATTATTATGCGACAGAAATCCCATACTGTAGCACACAGATTTGATACTTTTAATGATAAATGCCCTCTATTGAGAGACTAAAAGATAATTGCCTCGTATCAGAGCCATAATAATACGAGAAGAAAATCGAAAGTCAAATCTTGTCTTATATTTTCAAAAAAACACAATTTTCTCATTAAAATAAATATTGATTTTAAGTATAGGAAGTTATTAATAATACAAGATTAAACAACTATTACACAGTACTTCACAGGAAGCTAAATACGTGGCGGAATATTTTAATATTATGAACTTAACCACCGACCTAACTTAAATGTTGTATTCATTGTTTATACACTGTATTTGTATTTTACTTACATGTTGTTTTAATTTTTATTTTAGTTTGTATATATTTAACTGTTTTTATGACATGCTACAATTGTATCTTGTTTGTACAAAATGTGGTCAAATAAAGAAATCTATCTATCTATCGATTGCGAACTAAGATCGTTACTATTATTAATTTTGAAAAGTTCTTTTTAAGATCAAAAAAGGTAAAACTAAAACCTAAACTATCATTTGAGATTAAACGGGAACTTCTAAGTAATGTTATGCCTATTCTAAACAAGAAAAATTTATTTATAAGTTTTATAACACCTCTAGTTAAATTTGGACGAAAAGAATATTTCTGTTTGCTGTAGGTAATTTTCTCAGAGATTAAACGGGAAGTTTTAAGTTCTCTTCTTCTCTCAGGAAAAATACGTAAAATAAAAATTACTTTTTAAGTCAAAAAAAGTCAAAAGGACAAGTTATTCTAAAAAAGGACTGTCCTTTTCAAAAAAGGACAGGTGGCAACCCTAGGTATTTCTGGAATGGAAATTTAATGGCAAATCTACAACTTTAGTTTGAAAATATGTTCCGGCCACCTATGATTACAAAAATGTCTAAAATGTGCTTTACCATTGCCTCAATATTCTAAAAAAAAAATGAAAGAAAAGTCACCAACCACAAACCTAATATAGAACTGTTTCGGAAGTCTGCGTCACCCTGTAAATATTCAAAAGTAACTGAAAGTTTATATAGAAGTAACTGAAAGTTTAAATTGAATATCGACGTTGGAGCGATTTTCGAAAACTACCTACTGTTTCAATATAAGTATATGTGGGATATTAATTATATTATTATATTAGACCTTATAACAAAACTCATCTAACGAAAAAGTGTTAATGTAGTATATTAATATGGAGTAAAAATTTTACTAATTACTTTACTTTTACTTTACTAATTAAATTCGTTCCAAAAAACGATACGCCACTGGCCATTAGAACAATCCAAATGCGCCTAGTTGCCGAGGTCGGAAATTTTAGACTTCTCTGTCTCTTCTGTCTTTGTTTGACACATTGGAATGTTTGATAAACTACCAACGAGTATTTATGAATGAGATGTTCGGTCTATCTTTATAATGTCTTTGTTTATAATCCAATTGAAGGCAAAAACTAAAGCCAAAGTCAAATTTTATTAAATTCGATATAATAAAAATAATAAAAAAATATGATACGAGATTTTTATTGGTAATAGGTACTGCAGTACAAATTATCAGATTGTTGTTCAAAATTTGTTCAAAACGTTGTTCAAAACGTTGTTCAAAATTCAATTTTAACAGCGCTTTCAGATGGAGCGGAGCGTCCGCGCTGTTTTTGTGCTGCTTGTTTTTTCAAGATAGCCGTCAGACGAAATCATCCGGACGGAGTATACGCGATCCATGTGAAATTGTTCATTTACAGCGCTTTCAGATGGAGCGGACCGTCCGCGCGGGGCGTCCGTCGTGTACCATGAGTTTATATGATCAATTTGACATGGGTCGCGTATGCTCCGTCTGGATGAGCCATATTGAAAAACATCCGCGCGGACGCTCCGCTCCATCTGAAAAGCGCTGTAAGTCCCTTTTTGTGTATATATTAAATCGTTTTTCTGGTTCTATAATACACTCATCGACACGAAAAACGGGCACCTTAAAAATGTATTTCAAAGTTTAATATAACATATACAGGGTGATTCCTGTAAGTCGGTCATGCTTTCGAGGAATGATAGGGGACGTCGAAATATTAATTTTGATATAGCATACTATGGGTCGGAAATGCCTCTTACGCAAGGTACAGGGTGTTAAAAGTTTTTGAAAAATTAAAGATATTCTTTAATAATTTTTTAACAGTTGAAGGTATCGTTATAAAATTTCATTATATGAATCTACCTAACAGAGACACTTTGAATGTAAAAAGAAGAGGTTTTAGTTTCAACCAGTGGCGTAGCTGTGATACGCATGGGGTAATTTTTTCAAAAAAAATAGTACGCCACTGATAAAAATAAAAATTTCGGAGTTTTTTTATTTACTCGGTTTATTTCCAAGAAAAAATGTCTCTTGCAACTTTCTCCTATCTAACACCATTTTGTCACAATTTAAAAATAAATAATTTTTTTAATGAGAATCTTAAATACAGCGAATTATTATAACTAGAGGGCAAAAACACATATGCATCGTTAGCTCCCTTCATCTTGGGTAACTTTAGTACTTTTTACTATTAGCACTAAATAAATTTTTAAAAAATTATAAATTTAAACTAGAATTTTTTTTATTGTTAATAATAAAATTCGTAGTTTTAAGTAGTTATAATAATTCGCATATTTAAGGTTCTCATTAAAAAAATATTGATTTTTAAATTGTGACAAAATGGTGTTAGATAGAAAAAAGTTGTAAGAGACATTTTTCCTTGGAAATAAACCGAGTAAATAAAAAAACTCCAAAATTTTTATTTTTATCAGTGGCGTACTATTTTTTTGAAAATATTAGCCGATACGTATCACAGCTACGCCACTGGTTGAAACTAGAACCTCTTCTTTTTACATTTAAAGTGTCTCTGTTAGGCAGACACCTACAATAAAATTTTATAACGATACTTTCAACTGTTAAAAAACTATTAAAGAATATCTTTAATTCTTGAAAAACTTCAACATCCTGTATCTTGCGTAAGAGACATTTCCGACCCATAGTGTGCTATATCAAAATTAATATTTCGACGTCCCCTATCATTCTTCGAAAGTATGACCGACTTACAGGAATCACCCTGTATATTCTGTTCTAGTGGGCCGATTTTGGTGATTTTTAAGCAATTTAGGCAATTTGTAGCTAAATTATTTGACTTTTTAGTATTACTTTATAAATTAGAAATGAAAATTTCCATCTATCAATTATACGAAGTGAAACAAAATGTTGATAATTTCGTGAAAGTTTGAAACACCGCCAGGAATTTAAAAATTATTTTGTCATCTAGGTACATCTTTTGTAAACAGTTTGTTTTTTGAGCCATCTCAATAGCTTTATTTTTATTGGATATATTGGCTTTAAGTTCTGAAGTATCGGATATTGTTGCTTTAATTATTGATCATGGTAGAGATTAACTTTGGACTTAAAACCATATCTGGTAGAGTAACTACCCAACAGACGATAATAATATGATTTCTCAAAGACAGTTACATTACATAAATCATAAACATAATTTTATAGGTCTGTTGATTAGGACCAAAAACAAAGGCATGGTTTTATTTTTTATGCTTTTAATGTAAAAAATATGAAAAAAAAATTGTGTCTTCTTCGTAAGTGAATATCTCCAAAAAAAAATAAAGCTATTGAAATGAATCAAAAAACAAACTATTTCGGAGAGATACACCTAGATGATAAAATAATTTTTAAATTTTTTGCTTTGTTAACGTATTCCACGGGTTGTTTCAAACTTTTACAAAAATATCAAGTTCTAAAGCTCTTTTCTTCTCTAATATTCGTAAAATTCAGAAGAGTATTCAAAGATTTTATAAAATCAAATGTGTTAAATAGCATAAGCGTTAATTTTGGATACGATATTCACGAATTATGATAATTTGAAAACGATTAATCAAATGTATGATTTATGCCCATTGATTCCGTGTAGCGTTTTAGACATTTGCTGCAATTTTTCCCGCCCTCCATTCAAATAGGTAGGTAGGGCTTTTTTCGACTGTTTTTAATATGTAACACTGATTGGTTTTTAAATGATCCCGCGTATGTAGATCGCAGCTTTTGAAACGCGTATTTTTTGCAGTTCAGTAGCTCCGAAAAAAAATATCAGACGGCTACTGGCCGATTAATTAGAGCTGTAAAATGTGCAGAAGGATTCCATAAATGTACTGCAAAATGTATAGGTATTGATAAAAACATTAATTTTAGAGATTTCATGTAATTTAGTATATTGGCTAATTTGTTGATGGATGCTTTTAAGTAATATGATACAGTATTGTTAATATACAGTGACCTGAAAACAATCTCACAAACATTTTTTTTTTGGTATTGAAATTTTGAAAGATATATTTATCTTTTCTAAATATGTTATTTTAAATTATACAATATCTTTTTTTTCGTTTCAGGGACCTGCTTAAGATATGGACATGCATGTTGGGGAGGTAAGAAATATTTAGTTATTGAGTTTAATATTGTATCCCATCAAAAACATAGAATATAAAAAATGCCAAGTCTCACAACACAATGCTTCCACTATAAAAAGTTGTGAGATGTCATGTAAAGTCAAGTCAGTTTATTTTATTTAGTTTCTCTTTAAGCACCTATTCAACAATTTTGTTACAAATTGTTAGTATCAATATTAGTCATCTTTATTTTTGTAATAATTATAATGACTTGGTCTTCTTATATCTTATTAGTAACTTCTTTGACAGTTTTAAACATTATCGATTTTGCTTCTACCCGAATCAAACAATTATTATTATATTTACTCCCAAGACATACACTGTGCTTTAAACATAAAGCTAAGCTTACCCATTACAAATTAGTCTCTCTCACCGATACTTTGAGGCATAAAAAATATCTAAATATAACGACGATTTTTGCAGCCCATGGGAAAAGAAGCGGCGAGGAGGCGCAGTTTGCCCGCACCAATGCCGCTACGCCGACCGACGCCGAAGACGCCCGGACTAAGTGGTTCCTTTCCAAGCTGATCAGTCCCTTGGAGCTGAGGTACTATGGACCGCAGGACGTAGGAAATTCTGAGGGTCAAATTCCGGCTGGGGAGAGATATGGCGAGGTCGAGAAAAATGAGGCTAAAAGGTAAGTTTGTAGAGTAATAGAGTAATATAGTATCGTACTAAAAACTTGACACAAAAAACATATGCACTCTTTTTGTATTTTACTTAAGAATTGAAAAGACTCTCTATCTCCAGATAGAGACTCTTTCTAGTGGTCTCAAAGGTATTATTGTTCTGTTACATAAATTAAAATTCACATGCTCTTTCTTTCTTTCATTCTGCTCTTTTGTAATCTTGCAATTTCGTGCGCGTACATTATGGAACACTCCATGTATGTCCATAACTTCTTTACTTTTCAGTCTGTATATATTTTGCCTTCATTCGATTACAACATTGAAACTAATATTTCTGATTTTCCTTCACCTGTTTTATCAAGGGAGGCGATACAGTTCGGTTACCTCCAGGAATCCATGTCCTCCATTAATACCAACAACATCTCCATCTCTATCTCAATGTAAATAGACTAGTTAGTTATAATTTAGAATAATTGCCATGAGCGCGATGATATTATGCGCCAAATGCTTATAAATTAGTAAATAATATAAAAAATAAAAATTAATATTTAAAATTATGTAATCTCTGGATAACGGATGATATACGGCAGAATAGGAAGTGTAATATATAGGGTGAATCTCTCTCACGGCGATGGTACATTAGACGTTTATGGATGATAAAATTTTTGTGAAAATTTGGATTTTTACATAAACCTGCTCTATCTTTCTAAAATATTTTCAGCACTATAGTGTTGCTGCTTCATAATAAAAATAATAACATTTTTCTTATTTTAAATAGAATACCCAGTATGTTATGACATTTTTGTAAACTAGGTACTTTCACATCTCATATTTTTTCTATTATGCTAACCTATACCAATCTCTAATAGTTTTTGAGATAAAAAATAGAACATGTGTAAAATTGACAAAAACATCATCGTGAATAAGCATTGGTCAAATTATGAATTAAACATTTTTAAATTTGAAATTTGGGTTATAACGAAAGTCGGTATATTCGATCTGTCTACATAAACCGATTCGATATTGATATAGATTACACAGAGAGAAGAAAAATATCATTTATTTCCGTTTATTATAAAATTACTCAAATCTTTGTTATTTTAAATTCAACCCTAACTATGTATATGATTCAAAAAATTAAAAGACTAATAAAATTGCTTTTTAACGATATTATCATGTTCCTATACCTAAACCTTCCGGTTTCTTAAGTAGAGTTATTTAAAAATTAATAATTCTATTATTACAGAGTGAGTCTTAAATAAGTGCAAATATTTTTAGGGGTAGTATTTTTGACCCCAGAAACACGATTATGAGGTTTTTTCGCGAAAAAATAATTGAAAATTTGGAATTTTTATGTAGTTTTTAGCTCGGTTTTTAGTTAAAAAACATAATTTCTTGATAATATGGCAATATAGGTAAAGTAAATTAAATTTACAATAAACAAAATCCAGAAAAGATCCAGTGGTTCTGAAAATTTAATAAAAAAATGTTTTTTTTTGGAAATTTTCAAACTAAAATAACTCGGTTATTTTGAATTTATTTGAAAAATGGTTAAGAGAAAATATGTTTCTTTTATCGAGATCTACCAACCCTGAAAATATTTGCACTTATTTAAGACTCACCCTATATAGTTTCATTTCAAAAATTTCGTTACAATGACAATTTTAGAAATTTATGTTAAACAGTTGTTTAAAAATCTATTCCAGCTATAGTAAAGTGAGCAACTAATTATCAAAAATAAAGTTCCAACCCTAGATGCAACATTTTTCGTAAACACTTGTGCGGCTTGTAATTTTGATGCAAAATCCGGCAATACTGCATTTCTATGACCAGATCGGTATATCAGTTTATCATTGAATGTTGGTGCTGTTGTACTTTGGTCCGATTTGTAGTTAACGACGAAACGGTCGGTATTTTCTTTGAATTTATCGTAAAATATTTTTTAATTAGTAATAATATTGTTCTTACAAGAATGTGCACAAATATATGCTTGCCATTACCACTGATGGATACTCCTTTCATTACTTGTCATTACCAGGAGTAAATACTCCTTCGAGCTTTTTTCGAGGTGATTAAAAAAAATTAAGATGGAGGTTCTCGATTTTGTCACGTCAGATGATGCCCATGAATAAGTTTATATTATTGCTCTTTTCAGTTCAGTGCATTTATCTCTAACGTCAGCAACAAAATGGAGATGTTAGGCTTAAAATTCTTCTTCTTCTTCTTCCTTCTTCATACTAGGCGAATCGCCTGTTTGGTTTCGTCGTCTCTACCGATTAGACTGACAAGTTGTCGCTCCATCGTTTTCGTGGACGTCCTAAGCTTCTACGACCTAGCGGTGATTTGTCGCGTGCAACTCTCACTATCCTTCTGTAGTCCATTCTGCTGATATGCTCGTTCCATTCTTCCTTTCTGCTGAGTACCCACTCATTTACATTTTCCACCTTGCACGCTCTTCTTATGCTTTCATTTCTCTCCCTGTCCAGAAGCGTCTTTCCAGCTATTCTGCGTAGTACTCTCATTTCGGTTGTTTCGAGTTTCTGCAGTGTATGTCATTATTGGTCGTACCGTTGCCTTGTAAATTCTCGCTTTAGTCTCCACCTCAATGTTTTTATTTCGCCATATTGTATCATTCAGACATCCTGCTATTCTGGTTGCCTTCGTTGTCCGTTCTCGCACCTCCGCTTCTACATCACTATATCCTGAGATTTCTATGCCTAGATACTTAAACTTCATCTCTTGCTGAATAACATTGCTCTCGACTTCCAGTTTGCATCTTAGTGGTACTTTTGATGTCGTCATGCATTTAGTTTTCTCGGTCGATATTATCATATTAAGTGATTTGGCAGTGCAATTAAATCGATGTAATAAGCGCTGTAGATCGTTCTCATTTTCAGCTACCAATACGGCGTCGTCAGCATAGCATAGAATAGTAATTTCCTGGTCGCCCATACTGTATCCCTTCAGTAAACGTACATTTCCTATTATTTCGTCCATAATGATGTTGAAAAGAAGAGGGCTCAGGGAGTCACCTTGTCGGATACTACAGCCTACATTTATTGGTTCGGTCAGGACCCCGTTAATTTTAGCTTGAATTTGGTTCGCTTCATATATGTTTTGTATGGTTTTAACGAGGTTGTGTGGGATTTGCCTATTGTAAAGAAGGTGTACAACGTCTCTTAGCTGCACACGGTCGAACGCTTTTTCTAAATCAATAAAACACATATACGCTGGTTTGTTATATTCGATTGATTTTTCTGTTATCTGTCTTATGACAAAAACCGCGTCTGTGCATGATCTGCCCGATCTGAAACCTTGCTGTTCATCTGCTAAGCATGTTAAGTCGTTTATTTTGGTTGTTAACACTTTTGTCGTAAGTTTTAGTGTGGTGCTTAGAAAATTTATGCCTCTATAGTTTGAGGGCAGCTTCTTATCTCCTCTTTTAAACATCAAGATAGTGGTGCTGGTTCGCCATTCATCGGGTATCCTGTGGCTTAAAATGTCATACATAATCAGATAGTACTGGGGATACTTGTTTACTATACCCCAACCTGAAATAATTATTCAGATTATGGTGCAGATTCTTATTGTTTAAGATTTGATGCAGTTCAACATTGGAAATAATGATAAAACGTTTAATTCCTTTGATAATGGAAGGAACCTTGAGATTATGAATAATGACAAACATTTTGAATAAAAAAATCAGTATCGTAGTAAAAATAAGAAAAACAGAACACTCTATTGTAAACGGTATTGTAAAAAAAATTAATAGTCAAAATGTTACAGTTAAAATGTAATAAAAAATCCATCTTTTATTAGCACATTTATAGATAAAAGCTTGTAAGGTTAAAATGCGTACTAATAACCATTTAATAGTTATTTATTACAAAAGTGTTTTAGGCAGCATTTTATTCGAGAACAGATTGTAAGCACTTAATTTCCCCCCTTAAGTGGATAAAATGCAACTAAAACAAACACGAAAGTAACGCAATGTTTTATCCAAAAACCCATCTATTATTTAGCAAAAATTATAAAAAATTGATAAGGAAAATTAGCAGCAAACATCATAATATATAAAAATATTACTAAATATACCGTTTGTTATGGTAACTATGTTGTTTATGCTTTATTTGTTGTTAACCAGATTGTTAAACTACGGTAAGGATCGGTTTCTATTAAATATCCGTAAAATATGGAACAATTTTATGAAATAACAGAGCTACTAACAATTGCTGACGTTTTTTAAATTTTAATATTCTTATAGAATTTTTATTCATGCCTGCATTCTGTCATATTCATCATTTCAATGAAGTTTAAAGTTGAGAAATATTTTTTTTAATATTCGTAACATTTTGTACATTTGCAAATGAGCTATTAAAATCATTAGACAGTTCGAGATTTTTTGAACCAAAAATGAGATTGAATGGTATATAATTGACAAATGAACCATAACAACTAGTCTTTTGCGCAGTGACAATAATGGCAGATATTTTTCAGGATCCGTGTTCCGCAGTAATAAATATTTCAGGCAAAAAATAGAAATTGCACAGAAAACCATAACCGTATTGATACAAACAAAAAAGTAAAATTCGGAGCTGGTTTAATAAGAATTTGCATACTTTTTAAAAATCACGAAAATTGTAAGAAGATAATGATGCTATTGGATCATCAATTTTTGGGGAAGCTCAAGAAACTAGAGGTGGCCAAAGATTAACCGAGTCGTTGATTTGAACGAGTATTAAAAATGAATCGTGAGATTTGATTCACTGCTTAGAATATGGTTCGTTCAAGTGATTCGTGGCCAGCACGGATCTATAAAATCCGAACGAAAGAGTCATAAATATTGAATCGGATCAAAATGCGACTCGTTAGTTTCTACGGCTTGTTCGTTCAAAGAATCGTGAGAATTGATTCATTGCTTAAAATACGGTTCATTTACCAAAGCAAAAAACACACAAAACAAATATATTTAAAATGTCTAAATGCAACTGTTCGAGAACAGTTTAGT